AAAACTGTAAAATGTACCGAATCTTCTCTTTGTTCACTTCCATTTTTAACACGCTGTAACTCACAACTGAATGCACCAAACAAAAAAGAGCAAAAGAATTTTTTTTACTGCGAAATGTCACCTATCCAACGAGCATAAATATGAAATTGTTTGATCGATACTTTATGAGAAATCTATCAGTGCAGCCATCTACCAAAAAAATAGTGGATTTGTTTTTCCCCAAACTGATATTAAATACCACAAATAATGACAAGCTCAAAACAATAAATTGAAACAATTTTTGATCAAGAATTAGAAATGAGTTTTATTTACGTATGCTTTCGACACCACGAAATGGATGGCGCGGCATTTAAAATTCAAATGGTTCTATAATCGGTTAACTATATCACTATATCACTTTCCGTTTTGTTTTTATTATAGATTGGAGTCACCTACGCGAGAATTGGAAATAACAGCAGCAAAAGACATTAATTTACAATCACGTGCAGGCGGTATTGAATTGACTGCTCTAGAGGATGTTAAATTGAGCACGATTGATGGCAGCGTAAGTATATGCATAGAGTATATCATTTCGGAGCGTTAAACGTAAACTGTTAAATAACTTAAAGTTTAGGAAATAGTGAAGGGATGTGCCTTTAGGTAGCAGCCACAGCTTTTTCGATTCCACGATTTCCTTGTTTTCAATTGCCTTTCAATTGCATATGAAAATGAAAAACTTAAAAATATAAAATAAAAGTCTCTTGGATAACATATATAGCAAATTTAGGGAGACAAAGAAGGGAGAATTTTGTTGTTTGTTTGTTTGTTTTGTTTGTAAAAATTTCTGTTTTCCAATTCGATTTTCTCTAATAACTTGATTCCTGCCTATTTTTGTTCAAACAACAACAAATTCTTCTTAAAAAAAATAATCGATCGGAGTAAGCCACTACCGCATAGTCAAGTTATTGAGAGCCGCGAGCTGTAAGTCGGCGTACGCGCGCTTAATGCTCAGGGCGATAGGTAGTAGGTATATTGAATATTCTGCCATTAAACGCATAACATGTACAAATCGAGCATACACCTAACACTCTCTATCTCTTCTCCCCAATTTCTTCATGATCCTCACTTTGCTACACGCTCAGCAAGCATTACTTGGGTGGTTCGTCCTACAAAAAAGCAAGTAAGAAAGTTATATTTCGCTGGAGGTAAAAGTTGTATGCCCACCACCATCCATTTACCTTACTACGATGCGGTAAACCTGGTATTACGGATAACTATAAAAGTAAATGGAATAATTGTGTTTTTATATATACGAATTAGTTTACGCAATTTATTTTAGTTTGCTATGATTCGCGTTGCGGTACCCAAGTCTTTTCGTTTGATACCTATATTGACAGGATTGCTAAGGGGAAATTAGTCCATCACGTCGTAACGTCCTCCATATGTAATAAAGGATTAATGTACTTAGCTCGCCTCATCCTTTTATTTGACGCCGGTTTGATTTCACTGGTAAAACAATACAAACCCGCCAGATTGTGGACTGCAACACATTTATTTTAGAATAAGCATATTTTCTCGCCAGAAAATTTATCCTTGCGTGAAGAATGTGTAAAATAATTTTCAACGTTTACTTTATTAGTAATAAAAGAATGAAGCTTTCATGCTCCATAATATGAAGTGGGCGAGGCAGATTTTTTTTTATTGTCGTGCGTGGGCGTTTGAAAAGTTTAGGTCACTTCCAAATTGTTTTGCAAATTTGTGGGCGATATCTTCATTTTCGCTAAAGAGAGAGTGTTTATCACAAATGCTGTGCAGTTGCGCATACTCACGGATGGGTAGACGTACAGGCGGACATGTATAGGTGCATTATAAATTGGAAGCTGGCCAAGAATTTACATACTTTATGGGGCTTTTGAAACTTGTTTCTACGCGTTATAGACGTATTGAAAAAGCAATTAAATTTTAATACACTATAATATTGGGTTGGTGTGGTCAATTTATTGTGTGGTTCATCGATCATACAATATACGGTCAAATTTTTCTAAATTTAAGTGCTATAGCACGTGCAAGAACTTCACATATTTCTGCCAATACGGACGGACAGACGGACACGAGTAAATCGATTTAGAATTTGATCAAGAATATCAATTAAGAATATATATACTTTGTAGGGTCTCTGAAACTTACTTGCAGGCGTTGCAACCTTTTTGGTAAAATGTATATCCTTCTCATCCATCGGTGAGGGCTACAAAGAATTGAGCGCTTCCTTTAAAAACTGCAATATTTACTTATAATACTTTAAAAATTTAATTAAACATAACAAAAAGTATATCATTCGTACGCATGTATATATACCGTATGTATATATATAAACATAGTAAAAATTTGAATTATACATTTTTTTCGATAATTTTGTGAAAAAAATTTCTGAACAAAAAATTGATTTTTTTACTGACTGATTTTTTATCGTTTGCAAACATTCCGTTAACAGTTACATTTCGAATCGTCAAAGATTTTTATGCCTAACCTAAGAACAGCTCAGCTACCTCTTGCGGGAACTGCACAAAATCATGAACATTTACATCGTGTCTTTCAGTTATGTGCCTGTTCGAATGGTAAATTGTTTCTGGCAGCGCCTCATTCAATATGTGCCGGCGATGATAGCAGTGTATGCAGATGATCCATGCAAACGAATTAAGGACAATAATAATAAATGAATCAATGATTGAATAAAAAACTTTAGTAGAACTGCCAGAAAGCCTCTGAAAATAGAAAGTAACTGAAAAATTATAAATAATCATACTAAAGAATAATAATAATAATAATAATAACAATATAAACAAAAAACTAGACATAAATATAAGAAATTATAAGAAAGCCGCCGATATATTAGTTGAATAGTTTTGTATTATAATCAAAAACAAAAAAAACAAAAAAAAGCAAAAATATAATAAATTGATAACAACATTCGACAGGCAAAAAGGAAAAAATCCAATGAATTAAAAAAAATGTATTTGTTGTTAGTAAATATATGAAAACGAAATTATTTATAAATATTATAGATATGTAAATAAGAAGAATCATTATATCTATCTCGGTTATCTAACCGAGAATTAGTCAAAACAAAAATATCGAAGCGCGTAGACGAAATGAACTCATATAAATAAACAAATATATATGTAAATGTGTATTAGATGACTAGACTAATAACGGAGATGCCTATTGCTCTAACAATTGATTTCAATTCATTACAGCGTTTAATTATTTATTAAAAGAACTTTCCTTTTAATGGAATCCATTGTCGAATATATATACATTGTATTAAATACCGTCGGCTGCCGCCTTTTCGCGGCAAATACAAAATATAGAAGCACTTATGACATCATCGAAATAATCAAAGTTAACGTATGGCTCGAAGTCAAGCTAATTATTTTCGTTAACCTTTTCTTTCTCTTCCGTTAAAATATTAGAATACATATAGGTTTGTTGTTTGAAAACATATAACCAACGTTTATAAGTCTACACAATCACAATAAATCAAGAAAACCTGCGGAATCTTTCCGAATGTCATTTTAATAAAATCAGAGAGAGAGAGAGAAGATCCGGTTTCTCAAATCCGATGGCAAAGTGTGTTATGAAAACAAAAGTCAAAAGATAACTTCCTCGCTTTCATTTTAAAAAATTCAATGTTCATACAGCAATCTCCTAACGCGTCGTCTTGGAAATATCTTAACAACAATAACCCAATTACAAACAACAACAGAATTAAAATCTCTCTCTCTCTCTCTCTCTCTCTCTCTCTCTCTCTCTCTCTCTCTCTCTTGACAAGAAGATAGTATGTGTACCTATATGCATTCATAATCAAGCTATCTGTCAACTTAATTAAGGTTCAAACAGAGAAACTCGAGTTCACATTGAATCTTTTTTGCTCAACTCAGCAACTCATCTGTTCTTGATTTGCTGACTCACAAAAGTAGAAGAAGAGGATAGCGATCCAGTTCTTGATGTCCTGGTAGTCAAAGGTTATTGTTTCACAAATGAAAAGGCAACGATGTGTTATTTGATGCAATTGAGTCTTTTTCGAACCAATCAAAATTTCAAGCTGGTTCCACGCCCGAAACATTTGTTTTGAAACCGTTTGGACAAGATCCAAATGAAATGACCGTAGACTCATCATAAACGTTCCTAACTATCAATTGTCGATTTTTGAAAGACAAATGTTCGGTTTTTCTTTCCTAGCTTTCGTAGGTAGTCGTCCGAGATACGACTTTTATTGAACTAGTTCTCGGCCTTCTTTGAAGTCTTTGTACCATATGCGAACATTTGCTGGCGCTATACCTCCAACGCCATAACTCTTCTATAGTATCCTCAGTCTTTCCGGAGCAGAATATTCGTTGCGTGAACAATTTTTGATGCGAATTTCGTTGAATGATAAAATGCAGGAAAGTGGAAAGCGGAAAACATATTTTTGTATACTCCTTTTCTCACAAAAATATTTGTAACTCTTCCTCACTTCTCTTCCTCTTCTTATTGAATTCTCAGCAAGTTAATCGCAAATTATTCGCTGCGTTATAAAAAAAGGCACAGTATGAACATCCTGTAACTTTTTTATCCTGTAAAGATATGCTGACAAGAAACTCTGCGGAGGTGTTAAAGGAAGTATTATCCCGAAATCCACGAAAAAAAAAGACCGAATACTTCACGATTTCGTTGTATCTACGGTATTTAAATGAGGTAACTCTCTTTACTCTTTGCTTAGACCTCAGTGCAAAATTGCACAAAGTCATCGGGAAAGAACAAAGTGAACGAATTCTTTTTTTTATTTCTTAATATTCTGTTGAATTTCACAATCGAGAGATTAATATTTTTTCTAACTTTTATTAATTTAGTTGTTGCTGTATATGAACTTTTGAGAATTTCGGAATTTTATTATAACCTTAAGTAAGTAAGTAATATTTAATTTTCAATTAGCTACGAAAGGCGAACGAATATGAAAAGGATAAGAGATTTAATTATCGACTAAACAAGAAATAGAGAAAAGAAAAGAAAAAAAAAAATACTGATAATAACCTAAAACTACACACACAAAATCAAGAGCTTCTTATGAATAAATCAGAACAGTACACTATTAAGAAAACATATTATCAAAATTACATATAAACACAGACACGCACAAGCACGCGTATATATAAATGGAAGAAAAATTTCATTTGCGTTAATATAATCGCTAAGAGAGTAAGAATATTATTATATAACCTTAACTACAACTAGCGGCATAATAAAAACATGAATATCATATATATATATAAGTAAGTGATTTTAAATGAATACATATTTTCCTTTTTGCTTTTTAACGTCATATACTATTTTGAAATGAATTTTGAGTTTAAATAATAAAACATGATTTAAAAGTAATAATAAAAGTGATGTAGACAAACGAATGCTGTCTCCTTATGATCATTCATTTACTAAACATTTTCAAGCATACCATCGAAGAATGACGACAAAATGATTTTGTCCTACATGCAAGATCCTTTCATTAAAGTAACACCACGTCAGAAGTCCTTTTTAATATCGCAAATCTCTGTTTTTCCGCAGATACGAAAAATGCCCATAAAAGAGATTCAATGCCTTCCACAGCTGTAATAAAGAGCTTGGAGACTGGAGTGAAATCGATAAGATTCTAAATCTTCGACAACGTTCTAATGATGTTCATGAAAGCTCTCTCTGTCTTATTTTAACAAAATTTAATAACCTGCGCAGTCTCGTTACGCAAGCTAGCGCGTGTATAATCGAGATGACACAATGTTACGAGGATCCTTGACAAAAGTAAATTGTACTAACAATGTCCGAATGTGTTCCCTCTTAGAAGTTAATAATATTAGTTTGGCCAAAAAGAAATCCATTATTTTTTCGGTAGATGACTGCACTGATAGATTTCTCGTAAAGTATTGATCAAACAATTTCGGACACTGTACATTTACATACTGTACATTTCGCAGTAAAAAAATATCCTTTTGCTGTTTTTTGTTTGGTGCATTCAGTTGTGAGTTACAGCGTGTTAAAAATGGAAGTGAACAAAGAGAAAATTCGGTACATTTTACAGTTTTCCTTTGACAAAGGCGAAAATGCAAG